TTGCTTTTTTAACCCACCCGGGTTCTACCCGGGTGGCTCATGGGTCCACCCGCGGGTGACCCGGGTGGCATTTTTTTTGACGGGTCCAATCACTAAATCGTACTATGGATCAATTTTCCATGTAATAGTAAGTTTCGTAACAAAATTTTTTACAGTAACTAAAACCTTAACCACGTAATGTACAGTACTTACCGCAATTATTATAATACTATAGAATTCATGACTGTAATTCCAACACAAACTGTGTGTCATGATAGCAAGTTTGTAGCAAAATTTTTTACAATAAATCACGATAGAATCTACGACTGTAATTCCAACACAACTTTAACCACATACTGCGTATCACCATAACTTGTAAATTTTTGAACGATATCTTTAACTATAACTTATGACAGATATTTATACATTATTGGGCAAAAATTGTTGAATAACGGCAGAAAGAAATTTTTTCATGATCATATGAGTTTGCCGGATAACGTGACTAATTACTAATACATACCGTGTGTCACCACAACAGTGAGTGGGTAAAACATAGAATTGCATCATGTAACAACAAACAAAAAAGATTACACTAATTCTCTAAGAACTACGTACAATAAATTCTGTACTAAATTTTGGCACACAAAAATTAATTATATTTCGCATAGCTCACTGCATTTGCATGACGCGTATTTTGTTACATGTACAGTACGTAAGAACGATGGGCTGGTCCAAGTTTATCCGAATTATTCCGATCGGAAAATCTCGGAGGGTGAGAAGTCCCCTATTTTACTTTACGTATTCAGATCAACTTTCCGTTCCTGGTTTTGCGTAACAACGTCGCGCAGCTAACTTATCTAAAAATCTTTAAGAACCTCAACGCAGTGACGGGTACACACTAGTAACTTAATAATCCCATTGACTACGTTGATAAGCAAATTAAGGAAGCCAGTTTTCTCGAAATGTAAAAAAAATAAAAACGATATTTTAAACCACAACAAATCGGTATGACAATGAAAAGAATTCTAAATTCTCAATTTGTGCTAAATATTTGTCTGCAATTAGAGACAAACCGGAGGCTTTAATAAATTAGATATGGTAAATCTACATTTATCGGTGACCCGTCAATTTGTATAACCCATGCTCTTATCCTGTGCTATATGCAAGTTTTCATTATGCAAATTTTGAATAAGAAGCATAGAAATATTTCAGATGTTTTGCCACCAACATTGTACGTATGAATGAAATTTCTAAAGAATCAATCTATTGTAGTCAAGGTTAAATTTTTTTTTATGATACAATAATAAATACAATAACAATAATAAATATTTTAATATGTATTACCTTTTGAAACGTATATATATCTTGGTACAGTTATGCGATAGAGAATTCATCCATCTGCGAACATACAAAATTTATTTTCATTTTATATCTCTCTTTCTTTTTTTTTTTTTACCCGTAGATATACTCTCGGGACGCCATAAGGCGTTTTATCTCTCTTTTATTTTTAGACCATTTCTTTCTTTTCACTAGCTCATTCGCAAAAATGGTTGATGGACAAAGTGGTGTTCTTTCAGGGAGTAATCCCCTAAATGTTAATGCAACTGATCCTTTAACACTTGCTATAGTACAGATCGTTATTATAATAGTTTTTACTCGCATTCTTCATCTTGGTCTTAAACGCATCCGACAACCACGGGTTATATCTGAAGTGATAGGTGGAATTATTCTTGGCCCTTCTGTATTGGGACACATTCCGGGATACTTAAATACCATGTTTTCAAGTGCTTCCCTTACTTACCTTAACCTTCTGGCCAATTTGGGGTTGGTCCTATATTTATTCATAGTTGGTTTAGAATTAAATCCAAAGATGATAAAAAAGAATATAAAATCAGTCATTTTTATCTCTGCGAGTGGTATTATATTGCCTTTTGTCATGGGTATAGGCGTCGCATATGGCTTATATGATGCAATGGATAATCATGCAGTAGTTGATAGCTCGGGTGTTTCTCATAACGTGCCATTTACGAGTTTTGTATTGTTCATCTGTATTGCCATGGCTATTACAGCGTTTCCAGTTCTTGCACGAATTTTATCAGAACTAAAACTTATGAAAACAACTGTGGGTAATTGCGCGCTAAACTCTGCCGTTGGTGATGATATTACCGCTTGGATTCTACTTGCCATTGTTATTGCGATAATCAATGCTTCGAACTACCTCACAGCCCTTTATTCTTTCTTGATCTGTGTTTTTTGGACTCTAATTGTTGGATTTGTTATTCGTCCAATCTTGCTAAAATTCATTATTGCAACAAATTCAAATTATCCATCACCATCAACATTAATGGTTGCTATTACTTTATCGGTCGTATTGATATCTGCATTTATTACAAATATTATTGGAATTCATTACATTTTCGGAGGATTTATTATTGGTGTAATACTTCCTCATGAAGGAGGCTTTGCAGTAGGAATTACTGAAAAAATCGAAGATCTAATTAGTGTCCTATTAATACCCATATATTTTACACTATCCGGATTAAAAACTAATATTAGTGACTTGGGTGCTGCAGGATGGGGTTGGGCAATCTTGATAATTGTAGTCGCTATGTTTGGCAAAATACTTGGATGTACAGCTGCTGCTAAGGCGACAGGATTAACTTTTAGAGAATCTTTAACAGTAGGAGTTTTTATGAGTTGTAAAGGCCTTGTAGAATTAATTATTCTCAATGTTGGTTATGATGCAAAAATTATAAATTCTAAAGTTTTCTCGATTATGGTCGTCATGGCTTTGGTGACAACATTTGTCACGACTCCACTTGCCTCTTATTTATATCCTGTTCGATACCAGAGGAAAATGGAGTACAAACGTACTAATAAGGATTCTGAATCAAAATTGTTGGTTGTATTGAACAAAGTTGAAAATCTACCGGCTATGATAACTTTTGTACAACTTTTACAACATAAAGTTTCTACCAAACCTACTTTATTATCCTCTGATGATAAAACTGATTCAAGTATAATTAAAGACATTAAACCTATGAATGTTCATGTTTTACGTCTTATTGAGCTTACGCAACGCATGTCAGCGGTGATGAAATTTAATGAAATCTCAGAGACTATTTTACACGATCCAATTATGAATATGTTCTCTGTACTTAGTCAAATTAGCTCGATGAAGGTTAACGCCAAATTAGCTGTTACCTCTCCAAAGGACTTTTGTCAAGAAATTACTGAAAAGATACAGGATGATGATATTAATTTGGTAATAATTCCATGGGACGGTGCAGGTGAAATAGTAGATACACCAATTGAAAATGAAGATAATGCACTACGTGAGAAAAAACATACAAGCCCACAAGTTGCAAGCTTTATTCAGGATATTTTTAATGATGCAACAGATTATGCAAGCGTGGGCGTGTTTGTAGACCGTGGTTTCGGTAGTACTGATAACACATATACACTTTCTAATCCTACGGGCTATCTTAATGTATTCATGCCTTTCTTTGGTGGTGCTGATGATCGTGAAGCGCTCACTTTCGTTTTTAGACTACTCGAATATCCAAATGTCAACATAACAGTTTTTAGAATAATAAAATCAGAGCAGCCTACTGATAACGATGTCACGTTAAAACCTGAAATTCAATCCGAGATTTTAAATGTCAATGAGAAAGATCGTTCTTCGCTTGATCGACGAATTTCGACTATTACTATTAGTGAAGCTACAGCACATCGGGAAAATGAAGAGGACGAATCTTTTTTGGAGAAATATTTAAAATCAAAATCCGGTTATCCTGCGAGAAATGCACGTATAAGTTATCAAGAAGTATCATCTTATACACCAATACAAACTGCTGTTGAACGTGCTAAAAAAGTAGTCAGTAGAAAGGATTTAGTTATTGTAGGACGTAATCGCCATTCACAAACGAATGAACGTCATCACCATTATGAATTTAGAGAATTAATTAAAAATTTAGGAAGCTATGGCAATGATACACATAAATCTTTAGGCTACGTCACTGAAGCATTTTTAGTTGGAGGTATTATGGCGAGTCTTTTGGTGTTGCAGGCAAAACAAGTTAAAGAAGTTAAAGATGATAAAATGAATTGATTAAATCATGTATACATATACTGTATGTAGTTGTTTTTGAAATTTAGCAAACTATAAGCAATATAAAATGTATAATTAGCAATTTTAATAATTCATTATTATTCATTATTATAAGATTATTTTGTTATCAGCACTGTTAAATGGCTAATAAATTAGTTTATATGGTAATTCTTTAGACCTTTATTATTACCAAAATATTGCTAATATTGGTATTTTGTTAGTATAATAATTGGCAAATGTTTCATAAAATTACTTTGTGGAAATCTTACATTTTGCGATAGTGTCGCGTGAGTGACGGTATTATGTATAATTTAAAACATATATATATTGTAATAATTCCTATAAAATTAATAAGTACGTACTGTACGTACCAGATAATAATGTCCATTTTAGAAGCTTCAAACTATCGTATGTTAACCGTATATTTTTTTTTTTTAAAAAAAAAAAGAAATAATCAAAAATAAGAAAGTTTCTAATAATACTTTTAGCCGACTTATTTGTACAATAGCAGGCCAAAAATCTTAATTTTTACTATACTAATTTATCAAGATAACTTTAATTGACAAAAAGCAATTACAGCATATTCTTTAGTATCCTCAAAAATTATACTTAAAATAAATTACAACAAATTTAATGTTTTCTCAAACAGGAAATAGTACCTACCAAAATTTTATTTATTGAAAAACAAGGAAAATATGCACTAGCTTTAAACATATTCACCCAAATGAAAATTTTATCATCGAGCTCTACTTTTATTCTAAGATAGAAAAATACTATATATTGTTTTTTTTTGCACAATGTTTTCTTGACTAAAAGCAATATGCATATAAACTTGGTAGACTAAAAGCAATCACATCTTAATAAGAAAAAAGTTAGATCAATAAACATCTAGTTAAGGCAGTGGTAGATGAAAAAAATAAACCAAAATAAAATTGCAAAAAAAGGTTTCTGCTCTATAATATAAATACAGATAAAACTACCTTAATTACCACCTGTTTTTTCTTAAATATATATTTAGATAAATCATCGGCGAAATCATCGTTCATATTTAAGTTATTGGCGACATAATACAGGTTTTACTGAATGATAAGGTGCTGGTCGGTAGGAATGTTCCACGATGATCAGAGCATTCAAAACGCCAATATTTAATGTGCTTAACAATTAAACAACCACTATATCTAATACGGCCATTGTTGGAGATTTGAGCACGAGAATGGTCATCATAATGATACCAGTAAGAAGGTATTTCGATACACTTACAACCTACTCCTGGATAAACTATATATAAATATACCCATCTTTCTCCCATTTTAAGTATTACTTTTTTTTTATAAAAAAATTATTTTCCAGTCAATTTATTTTTATACTAGAATTGTTTTTAAAAAAAATTTTCTACCTGTTATTACAGAAAAAGGAAGAGTAATTACCATATTGTTCTGATTCTTATAAGTAAAGAGATTACTTGAAATGCTAGATTTTTTTATTACCAGAAAAAATAAGAGCTCGTTTAATGTGAATCACCAGTTCATTTATATATGCAAAAAATTGACAAGTATAATTAGCTTCAAGCTTGTCAATGATGAGATTTATCGTCATTGAACTGTATGTATTGAATGATAGATTGAGTATTATAATCATGTTAAAAAAGTTGCCGGTCTCGTGGTCTCCAAGCTAATCAATCTCAGAATCAGGCCGGAATAATAATTTAGAAAAGATTTATAAATTATTCATAGTAAATATGCGAATCCCTCCATACATAAAGTAACTAAAATTTCATAATGATAAACTTTTTTCATGATATATTGATTGGCTCGGATATCATAGAAACGACTAATTTTTGCACATGGTAGTCTGATGTAGAGATTTGAATAATATAATATTTTATGACTCGAGTCATGCAATACTTAACTTGCAAAACTCGCGAGTCAAATATATGTTGCTATATATTCAAATCAATTCCGGAATTTCATACAAATATACAGCCTTTATGAAATAGTTATTGTTTTTTAAGATTCGAATAACTCAAATAAAACTAACTCGATCAAATGATTTGAGTACTCTTTGAGTTTAATTCTCGAATAACGAGTCAGGTGAGTCTAATAATTAATATTAGTTTTCTACTTTTTATATATAACATCAGTCAATTTGTCCCTTTTTTTATTCTTTTCATCGATTAAAGAGACATTTTTGCAAAAATGCTTACTTTAATATAAATGTGCACAAACAATTCCAAGGGCAACAATTCCCAGAGCATAAACAATTCCAAATTCAGCAACAAATAACCTTAAGTGCTTATGATAGGAAAATTATTCACGATATGCTTTTTATGATGATAGAATGGTTGGAAAAGTGTATCGAAATAGCTGATTATTACCCAGATTGGAAGCAAAGGAAACAAATCCATAATACTAATATCAAAAGACAAGATTTTGACTGCCTAGGTAAAGCTGAAAAAGCTCTCTCAAATAAGTTAGCTGTATTTGTTAGATCAATAGGAGATAATGTACCTTCTTTTCTTCATGAAGGATTAAAAGAAAAATTGTATCAGTGAGTTGATGCTACAGAGATTAATGCTGAAAACTGTCCAGAAAGGCTAGCCTTCTTTTTACTTGGAGTTCATGAAATATTGGAAGGCAAAGATGCAAAAATTGAACAAGATTCCGAAAATAAAAAAAGAAGGTTAGATCCCGAAACTTACGAGTATAACAGAGAACTTAATAGGGTATTTGCACATATTAATATTGAAAATCACTTTGAAGGTGATGCGAATCGAGGCAAGGCTGCTTTTGAACGAATTGTAAAAAATATTTCTGTTGACGAGTACCAAAATTTTCATTTCTTTCCTCAAAATCTTCTAATTCAATGCACATGGATCTTATTTGATGCCTCACAAATTTTTTTATCTATTTTATTGACTAGTCTTCTTCACTATTACTTCTTTTCTTTTCTTTTGTTATTTCATGTATTTATGATCATACTATAATATACAATGTTGTCACTTGGCCACTTGGCCGGCAATTGGCCGTGGCCAATGGCTGCAGCCAATGGCCAAAAAGGGCAAGAAAATTATTTGGCCGAAATGGCCAAATATTTTGTATAGCAAGGCTAGGAATATGATTGGTTAATTTTGTAAAAGTTAGAAACTTTGGTCAAAGTTTGGCCACTGGCCAGTTGGCTGTTGGCCAATTGGCAGGCCAAAGGCCAAAAAAATTGTTTGGCCACTAAAAATTGCCAACACTGCACTATAGTGCCAAAAAAAAATATTCCCAAAAAATAAAATACAAACATGTGTAACAGTTGCTTTTTTCCAGATCAGTCTGAATAACGAAAAACTCAAAACACAGCATGATAAAATTAAGATCGGGTTTATTTTTTTAAAACCCTATCATTATTATATGTCGGGGATAGTGCTCCGATCGGGTTAACCCGAACAACCCGAAACCAACCCGGTTATAGCAAATCTATTAGATGGGTCATGACCC